TCAAGACTAGGGTAAAAATCTGCCAAGGTTCCCCTTTAATGAAATCTCTTCATATGCCTATGGCTGCTTATTGACTTCACTGGTATGATTATTTTGTTGCACCTGGGACAGTTTACACCTTCATCGCCCTTCTTAGTTTATGAAGTTTAGTGGGCTCGGGTAATTTGCAGCGCAACTCTACGAAACTGCAGCCTGAGCAGATGTCTGATCAGCCAGATTAACTGAAAACACCTTTGAGTTATTGCTCGATAAACAAGTAATATGGGAAACCTGTAGTGCTGCTATTCCTTCAGTGGTGCAGGAGGCTGAGTGGTTCAACACACTGCGTAACCAGCAATAAACCACTGCATGCCCAGAAACGAAAACAAAACCGAAATTCTGAAACCTAAATACCAAGTAAATTACTCTGAATATCAAGAAAAACACCACTTAAAAGCAGCTAGTGTTTATGTTGCTGCTGGTGACTTTAGACTCGACTTGGCAAAGTCAAAAAAGACACCAACCACTCGTGACATCCCTTCAACCTGAGCCTTCTGATTTGAAAATGTTTGATACCCTCCCCAGAGGACAAGAAGTATGTTATTTAAAAAATGTGCCACAAATCAATTAAGTTCCCTTCATTTCCTAAAACAAGTAACGTTAACGCTGTTTATTCCCAGCAGCTCGACACTTGTTGCCCAGATACACATTGTTTGAGCCGATCCAGCAGCATCCAATCAAGTTGTGGGAGAGAACCATGAAGAACTAATGCTTTGTTACTGAGTACAGGTTGAAAATAATGATCCCAAAGATAGTTTTGTTTCTTTCTGTTGTTAAAATGTCATTACAATTTGTGAAGAGCGCATTATGACTTTTTGGGACTACACTGCAAAGACTAATTTATCACTAGCACCTCTATTACTTTTATTATTAACGGAAGAATATTCTTTTCTCAGTCAACTCTGTTGTTAACTAGGTCAGACGGTGCCTCCTTCAGCAGGAAACAAAACTAGTTTCCGTTTGACTAACATTAAACTGTTTAAAACAATCTACATTAATTCAGGTATCTTTTGTTAAAAGCTGTCTGGCACCGTTGTTTGAACAGAAAATAATCCGTCTGTTAGGCCAACAAACCAAATGAATTTAGATTGCTTCACAAGGTCTGAACATGAACAAGAGTAAAACCTCACCCGTCGAGGTGGATCAACAGGGATGCCTGCGAGGTGCTGAGAGCGTGGCCCCGACGTCATCACATCAAACCGGTTCTGCTCTCTGATCTGTGATTGGACCAAACACATAATGATGTTATGAGGATACAGGAAGAGTTTACAGTGTCTGAATTATTTCAAACTATAAGGTTCAATTTTGTGATCATATGCCTTCTTCTAGTCCAGTAATCTCCTCAGGTATCATACTTCTGTCTCAGAGCAAGAGGCTAGCGCAAAATGTCAGAATAAACTTCTCAGTTCAGTTTTGAATTAACCATTCTACTATTTCAGTCAAGAAGTTATAGCAATTTTAGGCTTCTGCTCTAAATGTTAGTCACTCTGAACAACCTTCTAACCATCGTTCATGCTGACTTAGAGAAAAGACTTATACTCACTTTGTTCCTCTTCTCCAGCACCTCACTGGGGTTTGTGTTGAGAGGGACAAACTGATTGGGGTCCTCAATCCGGATCGGGGTTCCCGTCTCCTCCGCCTTCATCCACTGTAGAAGGAAGGTGCAAGAAGACAGGTGAGATCAAAACTGTCAGCTCAAAATATAAACGACCTGGCACTGCATTGTGACTATTGTTATATTATATTGTCACTTTTACAAACAATGTTATTATTACCAGATACAATTAGACAAGTCAATTGTAATCATTTAATTATCAGTTATGAAAATGATGTAATTTAATTTTCTATTTACTGCTACACATTAAAGTAACACATATAATCTATAATCTCCTGTTTCTACTCTACATATTTATTCTTTTCATCAAAAAAGATGAAAAAAGATAAGATATGGGCATCCACCAGTCAGGTGTCTGAGAGGAAACTCTGAGTTCCTGAATTGCATTATGGGAATTGTAAGACACAACATTATTAGGGACTTAAAGTCAGGATATTTCAGTGTCTGCTGCTTTGATTGTACCTCCTGTGAGACACAAACATTGTCCAATTGAAATACTAAATCACTAGAGTACTCTCTTAAAAATGTGATTAAATATTAATCACGCAGCAAAACACGTCAAAGGTAAGTAACCCCAACCAGTCGAAGTATATCCACTCGATTTTTATTTCTTTGCCCCATCTGTATTGTTTACAGTTTACAGACACATTGACTTGTATCTATATGTTGTTGCTTCTTTTATATATTAATTCCAGATAATGTAAACCTTTTCGGGCATTATCCGTTACATATACACCTATTTTTTCACCTACTTGTGTGTACATAACAATTCTGTGTTAATTTTTTATCTATCTTCTTCTTCTTCTGATTTGTAGTCCTTGTTTAGCTGTATGTCTATTTTTATCTCTTTTTCGATTGTAACTGTGTGTAACATTCAGTGCAACTTATAACCGGAGTCAAATTTCTTGTATGTGCACACATGCTTGGTCAATAAAGCTAATTCTGATTCAGTGCAACTGACCCAAAGTCAATGTAGTTCTCTCTTCAGCCTGTAGGTGGCAATCTACCATCAGGTTTTAAACACTGGGAAACAGCTCCAGTCAGATTAAAGTCAACACTAGCTGAAAATGAATTGAAGGACAAATCAGTCTATGATTTGTCATTTGTCTCTTAGTGTTTAGGTTTATTATGTAAATCTATATTCTCATGTTATATTTTCAACATTCTGCTTCACATTCTGACCCTCTCTCAGAAGGTATAGATGTTTTTCACATCAACACACAAAAAACCCACACACACACACAAAAAAACGCGCGCACACACACACACACAGCTCACCGTGGTTGTCCGGCTGTTGTAGCGCTCCTCTCCGCCCTCTACGCTGACCTTGGTGTAGCTGTTGGGCGAGTTGAGCCAGCGCGTCTTCTCCCTCTGCTGCCGCTGCTGCAGGAACTTGAAGGGCAGACGTGTGGCACCTCCGTCCCCTTCCTCCTCGAACATAAATGCAGAGACCGTGGCGGGGATCTCCACGTCACTCTTGTGCCTCGGCTTCTCTCGCACGATAGGGTGCCTGTAAGTGTGACCTGTCCTGTAGCCCTGTGGCAGGAAACAAGATTACACATGCAGTTAGTTTTCTTTGATCTGAAATGATCTGGTTTGTTTAGGTTCACAAAGAGCAATGAGCAGGAAACAAAACCTCATTTCCTCACAGGAGCCCCATTTGACTTTTACTCCTCCATCCACTCCTTCTGTGGCTGTATTGTGAATGGTCTTGTATCACAGCTCACATCATTGTGCATACATAAAGAAACAGTTTGTCATTTTTACACCAGGAGAGATTGAAGTGAACAAAATTCACAACAGAAATGAGCATTTATTCCGTGACTTTTTCCTTCCTGTAACGCTGGTTGAGCTGCCAGTTTCACATTTAGTCAAATGGAAAAGAACTAGAGAAACAGTGCTGAGACCACAGGGTTTCTGGCATCACAGAGGACAGACTCGGAGAGACATTTCCCGTCTGACCCTTTCTCTCTTGCCCCTAACCCTCCATCCCCCTCTTCCCCTCTCCTCTTTATTCTCCTCTTTGCTTTTCTCTCACACTCCAGCTTCCCTCTCTTTCTCTGTTACTGAACTCTCACTTGATCTTGATGTTGTTCAGACATTTTTCCACACTTGGCTTGACAGTGAAGTTCCGTTCTTTTCTGTTTTGTCTGTCTTTTCTATTCATCTCAGTTCCACGGTCCAAGCTGACCTTTCAACTTGACTTGACCCCCTTCTTTTTTTATCCAGAAACAGTCAGCTGTGCCAAGCTCTTTTCCTGCTTCACATTTGGACAATTTTGACACATTCAATTGTGTTAGACTGTGTCTGTGTCTTGCACTGAAACAAAGACATTATCTGAAACAAATGCTGTTATGTGAGAATAGAGAAGGGTGGCAGAGCAGACACATAGAAGGGCTGTTCGAAAGTCTCGACAGGCAGAGAGGTAATGATTCAAGAGGAGATGGCGCAGAAAAAGAGGAGGGGGTATGCGGAAAGATGAAAAGTGTGGGGTGCAGAGGTCAGAAAGGGAGATAGAATAGTGACGCAAGGGAGACAGATGGTGAGAGAAGCTCAGTCTAAAGAGAGCAAATACATTTACCCAATCTCTAGCCATAAACATCAGCTGTTTGAGGTGATGCAAAGTTATTATTTTTCAATCACCACTCCTTGCCTCTTCAAAATGTGTCATTTAAAATGAATTTCTCCGTCTTTTCTGTGTCTGTACTGTGCTTTCCAAATTACTCTTGCCAGTTTAACATTACTGCTTTTTATTTTACCTTGCATTGTCTGTTAATACCATTTAGGTTTCTGTAGGGGGCGCCCTTTTGTAACTCGGTTCTAGGTTGTGTCACTATTGTGTTGAATCAATCAATGACAAAGAAAAAAACAGACATTCATAAAAAAATTACATTTGATTACTTTTAAGGACTGGTTTTATAGAAAAAGGCACCTCTCAAAAGGCCACAATGTGCTAAGGTTCCAGAGAAAAGAAACCTTTTAGGCAACCATATCTTCATGTAACTTTAATATTTGCCTCTGAGCTTATTTGTAAAAAGATAACACACAGAAGGGAAGTGAAAAGCAAAAGTTAAGTATTCATATCATGTCTAGTCATTTAACGAGCCTGAGGGATCATGATAAACAGATGTGTTTGTGTGTCAGATGTACAGATCTTCTCACTTTGATGTCTGTGGACTCACCAGGTTATCCAGCATCCTCATCAGAGACTCAAACTCCAGCTCGCCAACCTTCCACTTGTACTGGCCACCCATGTTGACAGCAGCGGCTGTGGCCACGGCGAACACTCGTGATTTATACTTCTCCTGGTCCAGCACTATCAAGTTGTCCACGCCACCGGCACACGAGATGGCATTCACCTAAAGTCACAATGGAAAGAGAGAGAAGCATGTGTCTCTATTGACCGATGGCTTATGCAACACAAGATAGAAAGAAAGACTCGTCTATCACCAAACATCTGTGGCATTAGATCATCCACCTAAAATTAAAACAAGCATGAACAGACTTCCTGAAAACGTTCTGTGCAGAAGAAAGAATTTACCAAAACCAAAATGACATACCCCTCAATCTAAAGCTACCACAGCACCAAGCAATGTACAGTACATGGCATACAACAAACATGGTTGGGGGGATTTATTTATAGAAATTAAGCTGGGCTTTGCAGGATGGATTAATGTTTTCTTTTGCTTGACCGGGGAGAGTCAATCAAGAGATTTGGTATGCCTATTACATCAAGGGACACAACAACATCTCTAAAATCTTCCACGCAAGAATACAAGAGCAAAAAACACCAGAGAAACCTCACAGATAACACTAACGTCAAGCGTTAAAACATCTTGACGTCTCATAGTTGACATTTCTGAGTCCGCTGATACAAACACTTCAGTTGTTCATAATAGATTTAAACTGCATATAGTTTAACCATTAATAATATACAAGTGGATATTGTGATATTTAGGTCAGTTTGGTTATGTGTGATTTGTACTGATGAGTGGCAGAATTAATGTTTTCTAACATTTAACCAAAACTATTAGAACTGTTTATCAATCAGCTACCTATTTCAACCATTTATGCATTATATTTAGCTCACAGTTAAAGGACTAGAGTGTAGGATTTAGTGGCATCTAGTGGTGAATATGGTTCAATCTTTCAAGCCCTATCTAGAGCCAGTGTTT